TCCAAAATTATCTCTATTTTAGCCTTAATTATATCTCACTCGCATAGTTTTTTTTTTTTTTTTTTTTTTTTTTTTTACTTTTCTTTCTTGCCATCATCTCATCTGTGGAAATATTATAACAATGCCCACCATACGATCATGACTCCTGACTGGTACAATCAGGTTCAGAGTTCTCCCCCCCACCCCACCCCACCCTGACCCCCCGGGGGACAGCTGCTATTAAACAAAGTAAAAAGGGTTTTTCCAAATGAAAATGAATGGTATTGCTCGGTCTCTCCCCTACTCTTAATAATCATAATCTTTGTCTCTTCCAGCTGGTGCTCTGTCTAATGCCTGCAGAAGTTGTATTCATGGGGTGCAAATCTCTTCCCTTCCCTGGTGTCCATGTTCCTGTCCCTTTGTATTCCTCATTCCATTGAACATAGTGGGTGCTCAATAAAGATTTATTGAACTAAAAAAGGAGCAATCATTACCCCAGTAGGCTCTATTTGAGGAAAAGAGGGAATGAGGGAGCGAGGGAAGGAGGGCTACTGGAAGGAAGGAACTGAAATTCTGGGAGTTGAGGGTAAGACTAGGGGGGCCTAAATTCATTCCCTGTGGTTGTCTACCTTTCCCACCACTGGGAGGCTACTCACTTGCGCTCAGCTGCCAACATTTCTATTCGTTTTTTCTGTAAGCTGTCAGCATCTTTCCCTCCCTTGTCTTGACCTGCCTTTGCCAGCTCAGGGACATCGTTGTCATTGGAAGGAGGAGCATCACACACCTGCAACCCGAAAGACAAACAGACCAATAAACACCGTAAAGAACCTGATGAACAGCACCAACGGAAAAGGTGGCCAAAAAGGATAAATAACACAACCTAGCTAGTAGTACATAGTCCTCCACAAGAAAGTAAAACAAAACCCTGCTTCCCACTCGGAAACTACAACACACAGCACAGGCACCACGGCTTGGTCAGAAATTTGAAGTGGGTGGGTGTTTTCACTTGATTTCCTCTCCACTGTCTCCAAAGTTTAAATGAAACTCTGGGGCCTGGCGCATACGTGTGTCCCTCCTCTGCCAGATGACCGGGCCTGACTTGTGCCTGCCCGCAGGGCCTCCCAAACTCTAAGCATCCTTCTGTGACCTCATTCTCTGTCCCCTGGTTCCATGTGCCGCTCTGTGACTTCATCACGGTCATGTGTGTTTCAGCTCCCCGAGCTTCAGAGGCCCCAAGAGCCCCGTTCCTTTCAGCTCAATCTGGGGGAGTGGTTGAGCGCTGAGCTCTCAGCAGATACATCCCTGCACCCGATCCTGGAGCGCCCACTTCTCCAGATCCCAGCGGGGAGCGGGGGGCGACATTCGGCTCCTTTTCCCACCGAGCCCTTGAGAAGCGTCAAAGATCCGCCGCCCGGGCGCCCCCGCCCCGGCCCCTAGAGCGCTTCGGCCGCGGGCCGGGCTCCTGCACTCGGCCGGCGATGGCCTGCAGAGCCACCTCGGCGCCGCCTCAGCTGCCTGAGCGGCTGGGGCCCGGGCCGAGGCAGCGCGCGAGGAGCCCGGGAGCGCAAGAGAGGCACCTGCTGAGCAGCGTGCCCGCGGCGCAGACCTTGGCCAGAGTCATCCGGCCTTGCTACGGCCCCCACGGCCGGCAGAAGCTCCTGGTCACCGCCAGAGGAACCACCGTGTTCACGGGCTACGCCGCGGCCATCCTCCGGGCCCTGGAGCTGGAGCACCCCGCCGCGCGGCTCCTGCGCGAAGCGGCCCACACGCAGGCGGAGAGCAGCGGCGACGGCGCGGCCTTCGTGGTTCTGCTGGCGGAAGCCCTGCTCCAGCAGGCCGAGCACCTGCTGCGCGCCGGCCTGCCCCGCTCGCAGCTGCGCCAGGCCTACGCCGCGGCGACCGCGGAGACCCTGGCCCTGCTGCCCTCCCTGTCCGTCCGCTCCCTGGGGCCTTTGGAAGATCCCTTTTGGGCCCTCTATTCGGTGATGAACACCCACACCGCGTCCCAGATGGAATGCTTGACCAGGCTGGTGGCCCACGCGTGTTGGGCCACCAAGGAGAGGGACGGCAGTTTCCGCCGCGAGCGCGTGGGGGTGTGCACCCTGCGAGGGGGGCGGCTGGAGGACTCGTGCCTGCTCCCGGGGCTGGCCCTGTGTGCGAAGCCCCGCGGGCAGGTGATCACGGTGCTGACCGGCGCCAGGGTGGCTCTCTTTGTCTGCGCCTTCGGTCCTGCCAGCCCAAATGCTCCGGCAACGGCCCGTCTCTCTGGTCCTGATGACCTAACTAAATTCAGGAGAGGAAATGAACAGTTGATAGAAAAGCAAGTAGCCCAACTGGTAGCTGCATGCATTAATGTGGTGGTGGTATTGGGGGACATCGATGAGAATACACTGACACAGGCTGATAGGTACGGCATCATGGTGATTCAAGCCAGGTCCCGGGGGGACATGGTCTACTTGAGTGAGGTGTTGGGCACACCTTTGATGCCATATCTGCTTCCTCCCCTGAAGCCAGGAAAGTGCCAGAGGGTATACCTGCAGGAGCTGGGGGAAGGTTTGACTGTAGTATTTGAATGGGAATGTTCAGGTACCCCTGCCCTCACCTTGGTCCTCAGGGGGGCCACCGCTGAGGGGCTAAAGGGTGCAGAGCAGGCTGTCTACCATGGCATTGATGCCTATTTCCAGTTGTGTCAGGATCCCAGACTGCTCCCCGGAGCGGGGGCCACAGAGATGGCTCTGGCAAAAATACTCTCAGAAAAAGGAAGCAAATTGGAAGGGCCCAATGGCCCAGGCTTCCTAGCATTTGCACAGGCCCTTCAGTCTCTTCCCGAAACCCTTGCGGAGAATGCAGGCTTGGTGGTCTCAGAGGTCATGGCAGCGATGAGCGGTGCCCACCAAGCTGGGAACTTCCTGGTAGGCGTGGGGGCTGAGGGGATAATAGATGTGGCCGACGAAGAGGTGTGGGACGCCCTAGCAGCCAAAGCCCAAGGCCTTCGAGTGGTAGCTGATGTGGCTCTCCAGCTCGTGAGTGTGGATGAAATCGTACTGGCCGGGAAAAGCCCCACGAGTCAACAGGACTTGAATCCTGTTCCTAAGAAGGCAAGGCAACGCCCATCTCCGGTGAAGAAATCAACGCCTTAAACAATTAAGTAGCAACATCCTCAATAAAATGGGGATTGCCAAGGAAGGCACAATCCCCCGCAAAAAGAATGTCTGCCAGCTTTATTCCCTCCATGTTTGGTACTGTCCAGAGTCAGTTTCTTTAGATAAGAACAACAGAAAGGACCACAAGATAAAAGTCCTTTTCACTGATTTATCTTGTTTCAGATTCTTTACTTTTTTCATTTCCTTTTTCTCTCCATCATATTTTTTTTTTCCTCCAATAACAGCAGGATTCAATTCTATTAAAGATTTTTAAACTGAGTACCTGGGCTTTGGGGATGAAAAAAAAAAAAAGTACAGGAATCTCTTTCCAACTGCTTGAGTTATCCCCACACGATATCCTAATAAATGTGAATTTCTGTCTAGATGTCATGTTCACAATCTGAGAATGTCAGTTCCAGCTCACAGGAGCAGCTGCACATTCCTGTTGTGATTATTTGGGAAAAGAAGGGAATGTTACTTTAAGGCAGAGAAGGAGGAGAAAAGGAGGAAGAGAAAGAGACAAAGGGAAAATGAACCGGCAGGCAGAAATAAAATAAAATAAATTCTTGGCATGGGTAACGGAATAACACACACCTTAGAAGTGCACTAAGGTTGTTGTGTAGGGGAGGAAAACTGGGGAGCCCCTGGCACCAGGGTATCCCCCGTAGGGCTACGATTAGGGGTGGATGCCCCTGGGCACTGAAGAGGGAGTTCGAGCAGAGCTGGGAGCAAAGCAGCACATTATTACCCAAAGCCTTTTCCACTTTAACCATCCAAGTTATTCTGCCTCTGGGAAAAGAGCAGAACCTAGGGACAGCATCTAGGTGATGGGAAGCTGCAATCTCTTACAATCATTAAAAAAAAAAAAAAGAAAGAAAGAAAAAATACTTTAAGTATCTGGCAAGAGAACCAGACTCGAGAAACAAATGTCTTACAGTGGGCATATTAGCTTCAACAAAGCAAAACAAATGTGCAAAGATTCCTTTAAAACTTGGAAGAAGTGAAATCCTGAAAAGCTGTTAGTGAACAAAAGATGGGAAATGGAAATGTATAGAGCCATACTCATTTCTCATTTAAGATATATAAAACATCCTTGATGTGTCTTTCCTTGTTTTGTCTCCATTGTTATATTTTAGTGAATATAACTGCTTTCATATTCCCCCCTGCCCTCAAGTTCCATATCATTCTCATAGTCTCAAATTCCATAACAGTGATGATGATAGAAATAGCTAATATTTTAAAGCAGTCCAAACACACTTTATATACATTTTATATAGTCATCAAAACAAACTTATAAGAAAGGAGCTTGGTTAACTCTCAGTTGCAGGAGCTTCAAAAAAAAAGTAATTGACCAAAGTCACACAGTAAATAGAAGAGGAAAATCCATTCTCTTATTTGTTGTTTTATCACCCCAATCTTACATTCCTCAATTGTGATGTTTTCAGAGATATAACCCCTATGATTACAAAGAAAGTATGTCTCAAAGGCCTTCTGAGAATTTACAATGTGTTTTTTAAATCAGACAAAAAGCCCTGTTTATTGTATATATATGTATATATAAAAGACGGCTCTTGCTCACAGAGAACATTTTAGTTATATATCCAACACATATGTAATCCAAACAATGTAAGATCATGTATTTTAAAAGTCCTAAGTTTGACATATGGGGGATTTTTTGATAATTTATTTGGGGAGAAATCATATTGCAGCATTAACATCTCCTTTGCCCCGGACAGACAGACAGACATACACACACACACACACACACACGCCATTTGTATACATGTAAAAACAAGTTAAAATGATCGAGGATAGTCTTACAAGGGACAAAGAAAGGGATAGCAGACACAAATTCAACTGGCATATGCTGAGAACTCTGAAGGTAAAAACACCTGACCCAAACTTGAAGCTTGAGGAGACAGAATTCAGGCATCTTATGGGATGTGCCGGGGAGGGCCTGGAGCTCACGCTGCTCAGGCTCCTGAACCGCCTTGGTTCCCATCTATCCCAAGACTGGTGGGTCAGCTCTTCGATTCTGTGAACTGCCAAATATCCTTCAGATCAGTCTCCTTGAGTGAGCCAGACTTGCTCTCCCCTTCTTGAGAAAGCATTAGAAGCTCTAGAAGGGAAGGAAACATCACAGGACAGCGAAGGTGACCACTGGGGCAGCTGGGAGACCGGGCTTAGGGAAGAGGAGCAGAATGGGGAGTCCGCTATTAGCTCAAAGTGCTTGGGTTCCTCTTAGCTTCAGTTGAGGACACCTCCTTCTCTCCAGCCCACCTCCTGAGCTCTTGCTGCCCAAAGTGTGATGCCTGAACCAGGAATGGATCACTAATGTGGAAGCTCAGCCCTAACCCCCACTCCCCAGACCTACTATGTTAGAATCTGCACTTTAACATGAGCCCCAAGGGATGGGGTGCATATTAAAGTTTGGGAAGCATGGATTTAAGCAATGACCCGGATTAGCTCTAGCTTGATTATGCTTAGAGTATCTTAATATCTTTATGTTCTGTTTAAGGGTTAAAATATATGACTCGACAAATTTCTTTTCTCCTGCTGACTTTGGAAAAGTTCACCAGCATTTGATCTCAGTTTTACTGGATCCAATCCTGCTTCCAAGGTTACAAGATCAAGGGTCTCAGGTTTTCCAAAGGCCCACAAAGTTGGCTACATATTTCTCTTCCAAGATGGGCTTCTCTTCAACTCCAGCAGCAGCTGAATTTCGGAAACGACACGTCCTGTCACACGTTCCTTATGGAACTTGCTCCTGGTGGACTGTCTGTTCTTCCATCCCCAATCCCTTCCAGTTTAGCAACTTTGTTTTATGGGACTCTGGGTTGACCTGGCAAACAGGGAGCAAAGAAACAAGATCCAGAGAAAAGAGGAAAGGAAAATGAGGACTCTGAGTCCTGGGGAATGAGGGACATGAGTGCCCAGGTTGGGGCAGTGGAGGCTAGGGGGCTGAGTCGCGAGAAATGCTCCATCCATTTGGGCACTAGAGAGCACGGACCCAAGACTGGAACCCACAAAAATACCGGAGTCCTAAAGACAAAAAAAAAAAAAAAAAAAGCCATTGATTCCAAACTGCGAAAAGATCAAAACAACAGGAAAGTGTTGCCAGTAGTTTGTTTCACTCCTTTGTCTGTATGAACCTCTTCCCAAGAGTCCCTTCTGAGGCCAGCCCTTATGACAGAAGCTCTACCTTCTTGGCCTACAAGTCTGAGATCGCTTAAGTGCAGAAGCCAAGAGAGAGAGAAAGGTAAGATTAAAGAGAAAAAAACCCCAAAACACCAAAACTGGGACATCTGAATGGGGAAAAAAGAGAATATGAAAGCTCAGGGACCTGACAATTTCATTTGTAAATAAGCAAAACTGGATTTGTTTGTTTTAGATTTATTTATTTGAGAGAGAGCACAGGCACGGGTGGGCGAGGCAGAGAGAGAGGGAGAGAAAATCCCAAGCAGATTCCACGCTGAGTGCGGAGCCTGACGTGGGGCTCGATCCCAGTACCTCGAGATCATGATCCAAGCCAAACCCAAAGCTGGATGCTTAACCAACTGCACCACTGAGGCGCCCCCTAAGCAAAACTAGTTTGTTTTTTTTTAAAGATTTTATTTATTTATTCATGAGAGACAGAGAGAGAGAGAGAGAGAGAGGCAGAGGGAGAAGCAGGCTCCCAAGGAGCAGGGAGCCCGATGCGGGACTCGATCCCAGGACCCTGGGATCATGACCCGAGCTGAAGGCAGACGCCCAACCATCCGAGCCACCCAGGCGCCCTAAGCAAAACTAGTTTTAAGATTTGCTTGGACCCTATCAGCTGGACTGATGTAAATTGCACATGTTCACACCCCCATGACCACTTCCATTTCTGCTTGAGCCTTTCTAGAACAGGGACCAATGGTTGATGACCCTTCACCGTGAATGTGAGGGTTGTGAGTGACACTGTTAAGAATTAACTGATGGAGAACGGTCGCGGCTGTGGAGGCTCTGGCAGCTCGGGACTGAGTGCAAGTAAGAGAATCACCATGATTCTTCGGAGGCTCTTCAGGTTCTCCTCTCTCATTCGGTCTGCAGTCTCAGTTCATTTGAGGAGGAACACTGGTGTTACAGCAGTGGCATTTAATAAGGAACTTGATCCTGTACAGAAACTCTTCGTGGACAAGATTAGAGAATACAGAACTAAGTGACAGGCATCTGGAGGACCCGCTGACATTGGCCCAGAGTACCAGCAAGACCTAGAGAGGGAGCTTTTTAAGCTTAAGCAAATGTATGGTAAAGCAGACATGAATACGTTCCCGGACTTCAAATTTGAAGATCCTAAATTTGAAGTCATCGAAAAACCCCAGTCCTGAAGAAAGAATGTAAAATTTATTTGGTAACTTGTCCTAGATTAGTTGTACAACTGTATCAGAATAAACATACATTTCTCAGCTGTCAAGTGTTCTTTTAATTCTGATTCCAAATAAATTGTTTGGTGATGTTGGGTCTACAAAAAGAAAAATTAACTGATGGGCTACTTCCTGCTGTGATATACGGAAAAATCCCCCTCATACTCAGTTACCTGATTAAGATAATTATGCCAGGGAAAATTGTCCTTGTAGTGCTAAAATGTCGAAACCTGCAGTAGGCACGGATCTCAGAATGCCTGATTCCAAAAATAGCTCACTTTTCTCCCACAACATCAACCCCCACCCCCTTCATATACTATAGATCCCCTTCCTAACTGGGGAGGGAGAGGAAGAGGCTGGGTGGGAACGAGGGAAATGTTGGCAAGATGTCTAAGGGGCTCACCTCCCAATGGGTTCTAAGAACTGAAAAACGAGGGACCGGACAATAGAATCTCCAGGACAGTTTGGGGGTCTGAGAACAGAGGAGATTCTCTGCTTACAATCAGGAACCCTGGAGCCCCAGAGGAGTTCCGTGTGCCAATGGGATAGAGCAAAAATGCCTGTAGGCGGTGGCAGGAAGAAAGGGCAAGAGAATCTGAGAGCAGTCAGGTGCTCTCCTCCCAAGAAGGAGACGAAGAATTGACATGGTTGAGGTCTGGAATGACCGAGGAGAAATGTGAAGGGACCAAATTTACCTGGAATTAACTAGATTAATTATTCTACCATTAGGTAGAAAACAAGCGGGAAAAGAAGTATTAAAATCATTTAATTACAGAAAGACATCTACACATGCTTCCTATACGTTGAGTTCAGGGCTTGAAAGTTCAAATTCTCTACAAATGTAAAGACTGAGTAAGGAATTCAGACACTGTCCTGCATGCATTACCAAGGGAACTAGATGTTGGTTATTGCAGAGCTAATTAAGAGAGACTAGATGCTGGTTAGCAAAACAATGCTAATCTTTCTGTAATGTGGCACATATTCAAGATGCGGTTTTAGGGCACCTGGGTGGCTCAGTTGGTTAAGCAACTGCCTTCGGCTCAGGTCATGATCCTGGAGTCCCGGGATCGAGTCCCACATCGGGCTCCCTGCTCGGCGAGGGGCCAGCTTCTACCTCTGGCCCTCCCCGCTCTCATGTACTCTCTCTCTCATTCTCACTCTCTCAAAATAAATAAATGAATCTTTAAGAAAAAAGATGCGGTTTTATTCATTATACAAGTTTTTTTAAAAATGGCTCTCTACAGATGCACCATGGCTTCGGTAGCGACGGTAGCTCCCACCGGGTCTGAGTGTCGCCAGCCCCTCCCCCAGGAGACCATTGCAGTTGGCCGCCCCCTGCTCCTTGGTAACCATGTGCCACCGAAAGGCTGTGATCAAAAACACTGATTTGTCGGAGGAGATGCAACAGGACTCGGTGGAGTGTGCGACTCAGGCGTTGGAGAAATATAACGTAGAGAAGGACATTGCAGCCCATATTAAAAAGGAGTTTGATGAGAAGTACAACACCGCTTGGCACTGCATTGTGGGGAGGAACTTTGGTAGTTATGTGACACATGAAACCAAACACTTCATCTACTTCTACCTGGGCCAAGTGGCCATTCTTCTGTTCAAATCTGATTAAAAGCATGGACTATGTCACACACCTAGTGATCATCCAAAACCAAGGACTGCAGCCTAAATTCTTCAGCCTTGCTTAGGGGAACACCTCGATCTTTGAACCTTTATTGTGGTGTTTTGTACAGGGCAGTCTCTGTACAAATTTGTTGTGGTTATAAAACAATTAGCAAAACAGCTTACATTTGTATTTATTTTCTATTCCATACCTCTACCCCATGTTTTTTCTCCTCAAAATCCATTCTTTTCAAAATAAATCTGCTGGAGAAAAAAAAATGGCTCTCAACAAGTTTTCTTTTAACTCACTGGAGGCATCAGAAATGAAAAGTGGATCCCAGTGAGTTTAGGGAAGATAGCCTTTCTAAACTTTACTGAACTCACAATGAAAAACATTTTCAGGGGCGCCTGGGTGGCTCAATCGATTAAGCGGCTGCCTTCGGCTCAGGTCGTGATCCCAGGTCGAGTCCCCAGGTCATGATCCCAGGTCGAGTCCCCCATTGGGCTCCCGGCTCAGTGGGGAGCCTGCTTCTCCTCCCTCTGCCACTCCCCCTGCTTGTGCGCGCGTTCTCTCAGACAAATAAATAAAATCTTTTTTTTAAGATTTTATTTATTTATTAAAAATATGGAATGCTTCACGAATTTGCGTGTCATCCTTGCACAGGGGCCATGCTAATCTTCTCTGTATCATTCCAATTTTTAGTATATGTGCTGCCGAAGCGAGCACAAAATCTTAAAAAAAAAAAGATCTTTTCATATCCAGACTGTCATTAATCTTTTTAAACACCTTAATACCTGTGTATTCTGACTCCTATGTCCAGACTTCAGAACCCCATATTTGGGTGCCTGGGTGGCTCAGTCATTAGGCGTCTGCCTTTGGCTCGGGTCATGATCCCAGGGTCCTGGGATCGAGTCCCACATCGGGCTCCCTGCTCCGCGGGAAGCCTGCTTCTCCCTCTCCCACTCCCCCTGCTTGTGTTCCCTCTCTCTCTGTCTCTGTCAATTAAATAAATAAAATCCTTTTAAAAAAATACATTTTTAAAAAGATTTTATTATATATTTATTTGAGAGAGTGAGCAAGTGAACAGGGGTGAGGGGGAGAGGGAGAGAATTACAAGTCGACTCCATGATGAACATGGAGCCCTATGCAGGACTCGATCTCACAACCATGAGATCATGACCTGAGCTGAAACCAAGAATCTAGCGTTCAACTGACTGAATCACCCAGGCGCCCCTTATTCCTGCATTTGTTGTGATAAAAAACCCGTTTCAATTTTATTAATGTGATTTGTTTACAAAAGGTATAATAATCTATTGCAATATTGTTTCATGAGAAAAATAATTTCCAAAGTTGCTTGTGATATTTTTTACATTAGATTTTGAGAAGAATTTGCACATGCCTTAATTCCTGAAACTAAAGAGAAAACATTTCAAAATATACTCAGATGTTATTGGAATTTAATTTTTTTTAAAGATTTTTATTTATTTATTGAGAGAGAGAGAGAGAATGGTAGAGAGAGAGCATGAGAGGGAAGAAGGTCAGAGGGAGAAGCAGACCCCCCACTGAGCAGGGAGCCCGATGCGGGACTCGATCCCGGGACTCCAGGATCATGACCTGAGCCGAAGGCAGTCACTTAACCAACTGAGCCACCCAGGCGCCCGGAATTTAATTTTTTAAAAGATTTTATTTACTTGTCAGAGAGAGAGAGAGAGACAGATATTATAAGCAGGGGGTGCAGCAGGCAGAGGGAGAAGCAGGCTCCCCGCTGAGCAAGGAGCCCAATGGGGGACTTGATCCCCCAGGACCCTGGGATCGTGACCTGAGCCAAAGGCAGATGCTTAACTGACTGAGCCACCCAGGCATCCCTGGAATTTAAATTTTTATTTTTATTTTATTTATTTATTTTTTAAAGATTTTATTTATTTGACAGAGAGAGACACAGCGAGAGCAGGAACACAAGCAGGGGGAGTGGGAGAGGGAGAAGCAGGCTTCCCGCGGAGCAGGGAGCCCGATGCGGAACTCCATCCCAGGACCCTGGGATCACGACCTGAGCCGAAGGCAGACGCTCAACAACGGAGCCACCCAGGCGCCCTAAAATTTTTTTTTTAAATGGAGATGTATTTGACATATAACATTGTATTCATTTTAGGTATACAACATAATATTACAAATCTATGTCTATCTATCTATGTATGATAGAAATGTTTACCCTAATAAGTTAACATCCATCACCTCACAGCTACAATTTTTTTTCTTATGACTAGAACTCGATCTACTCACAGTTACAATTTTTTTTTCTTAGGACTTATGGCTAGAACTAGATCTACTCCCTTAGCAATTTTTTTTTTTTTTTTAAGGGAGAGAGTGTGGGCAGGAGGGGTCGAAGGAGAGAGAATCTTAAGCAGGCTCCAGACCCAGCAAGGAGCCCAACACAGGGCTCAATCTCACCACCCTGAGATTATGACCTGAGCCAAAATCAAGTTGGATGCCTAACTGACTGAGCCACCCAGGCGCTCCTCCCTTAGCAACTTTCAAAAACATGGTACAGTATTACTAACTGTAGTCACCATACTGTACATGACACCCCCAGGAGTTATTTATAAATGGAAGTTTGTACCTTTTAACCAACTTCACCCATTTCACCCACCTCTTTATCCCCTGCCATCCTCTGACAACCACCAATCTGTTCTATGTATGAGTTTTTGTTTTGTTTTGTTTTTAAGATTCCACAAGTGAGATCATACAGTATTTGTCTATCTGACTTCACTTAGCGCAATGTTCTCAAGGTATATCAATGTTGCCGCAAAGGTAGAATTTCCTTTTTTTTGACTGAATAATATCCCATTCTATATATTTATATTCATAACTATACATATTATTACATTTTCTTTATCCACTCATCCATCAATGGCCTTAAGTTGTTTTCATATCTTGGCTATTATAAACAATGCTGCAGTGAACATGGGGGTATAGATAGCTTTTTGAGATAGTGATTTCATTTTCTTTGCATAACTACCCAGAAGTTAAATTGCTGGATCAGATGGTAGTTCTATTTTTAATTTTTTTAAAAAAGATTTTATTTATTTGACAGAGAGAAAAACCATGAGAGAAGAAAGGGGGAGTGGGAGAGGGAGAAGCAGGCTTCCCGCCGAGCAGAGAGCCTGATGTGGGGCTTGATCCCAGGACCCTAGGACCATGACCTGAGCCCAAGGCAGACACTTAACAACTGAGCCACCCAGGTGCCCCTATTTTAAATTTTTTGAGGAACCTCCACAGTTTCTATAGTGGCTGCGCCAATGTGCATTCTCACCAACAGTGCACAAGGGTTCTCTTTTTCTCCTCCACATCCTCGCCAACACTTGTAATTGTCTTTTTGATCACAGTCATTCTGACAGGTGAGGTGATAACTCACTGCAGTTTTGATTTGCATTTTCCTGAAGATGAGCGATGTTGAGCATCTTTTTTTTTTTAATTTTTTATTGTTATGTGAATCACCATACATTACATCATTAGTTTTTGATGTAGTGTTCCATGATTCATTGTTTGTGCATAACACCCACTGTTCCACGCAGAATGTGCCCTCTTTAATACCCATCACCAGGCTAACCCAACCCCCCACCCCCCTCCCCTCTAGAACCCTCAGTTTGTTTTTCAGAGTCCATCATCTCTCATGGTTCGTCTCCCCCTCCGACTTACTCCCCTTCATTCTTCCCCTCCTGCTATCTTCTTCTTCTTTTTTTTTTCTTAACATATTTTGCATTATTTGTTTCAGAGGTACAGATCTGTGACTCAACAGTCTTGTACAATTCACAGCTGAGCATCTTTTTATGTGTCTGTTGGCCATTTGTATGTCTTCTTCAGAGAAATGTCTATTTAGACTTATTTTTTAATCTGATTTTCCAGGGGGCTATTGAGTTGTAGAAGTCCTTTATTGAAATTTAAAGTCTTGGGGTGCCTCGGTGGCTCAGTCGGTTGGGTGTCTGCCTTCAGCTCAAACCATGATCCCACGGTTCTGGGATCCAGCCCTACATCAGGCTCCCTGCTCAGCGGGGAGTCTGCTTCTCCCTCTGCCTCTGCCCCTCCCCCCACTGGTGCTCTTTCTGTCAAATGAATAAGTAAAATCTTTAAAAAAAAATGTAAAGTCTTAATTCAGATGTCCCATTATCACAGCATAAAGGTACCATCCACAGAGATTGGTATGCTAAAGCTACTGTCACAAGTTAAGCTTTCTGAGTTTTGCATACATCTTACTTTGTCCTATGATATGATATGGACTATGTAGATTTTTTTTTTTTTTTTTAAGAGAGAGCGAGTGAGCAGGAGGGAGAGGGAGAGAACCTGAAGCAGACTCCACACTGAGGGCAGAGCCTGACACAGAGCTTGATCCCAAGACCCGAGATCCTGACCTGAGCTGAAACCCAGCAAGCCACGCTTAGCCAACTGAGCCACCCAGGCGCCCCAGCACAGTGCAGCAGAGAATGAGAGTCTCATTACTGATATAGAAGAATTAATGTAAAAAATATTTAGTCAGAGAAAATATTCCTATCGTCCTTTTCATTACAGTTTACTTCATTTTCTATTATATTACAAAGTCATTAGGTATAATTGCTTTCCTCCCCCCTTATTTTCTGTGTTTTTTCTCCACTGGTTCATTTCATCTACTTCTCACCCATTTATTTATTTTTTTATTTCTATGCCTGTGGTTTCTACTTTTTTCATCAACTTCTACTGGTCTCATTACAGTAATTAATCCTGTTTGCCTTTTATTCTACAGTTGCTTTTTTTTTTTTTTAAATGAGGAAATCAGGGCAGTTTTACTTACAATGGGCTACAAGACCGGGGGCTTAGGGGAGCGGGCGGGATGAGGCCCCACCCAGGCCTCCCGCTTCTCTGGCAGCTTCTTTCACAAGCCTTTATTCATCTCCTTAAACACTTCAGAGGTGACTGTGGACAGGGTCAGCTCCTCATGTCCCATGGACAGGCCACAGAAGCAGGAGTCTCCGGGCGAGGGTGCTTGTGTGCGTGAGCGTCGGCTCACGGGCCTAAGGCCCGGTGACCCAGCCGTCCTCTCCCTCTGGAAGGGCCCCGAGCTACCAGCCGCCGCAGGCAATCCCACCTGATGGTCTTGCACCTGGCTGGATCAGTGAGCGGAGCATGTGACTCTTGATCTTGGGATTTTAAGTTCAAGCCCCCACACTGGGTAGAGAGATTACTTAAACATAAAATCTAGGAAAACATAACTACCCAGAAACAAGATTTCAGTTTGGTCAACCAGCAAGGACTCTCAATCAGGCAAACTTGACTAATATGGGACTGTAAAAATACCCCTTAGATCTCCTGCTGCAGGGAGGCCAACTGGTGAAGCCCCTCAGCTGCTGGTCTCTGAACCCAGCGCCTCAATCTTGGGAAGGGAACATGGGCTCCAGCACTCTGGTCAGCCTGGCCAAAGCCATCTCTGAGCTACATTGCAGTCAGGGACCTTCCTACCCACTCCCCCTCCTCTGCCTCCCCTACACCGGGCTCAGAGCTCCCTGCCTTCTCCAAACCTCTCCCCTTTCTTCCCTCATAGATATTTCCTCCTATAAATCTCTTGCATGACGATCCTGTCTTGGCATCTACTTTGCAGAGGAACTGAAGTAACACAGGATGGTAAGACATAAATACAGGATTACTCTGTGACAGATTGCCTCTTCCTTGCACTAGACTTGTCCTTCCAAGTGAGTGACTCTCCTCTTCTGAAAAGTCACTCAAGGCAAGAGAACTTCAATTTAATAACCAGCTACCACACCCTAACTCCACCTAAGAGCCGCTCCCCACACCACTCCCTAATTGGCATAGCTCAGGTCCCACCTGGACTGCAGCCTGACACCCTCCCAACTACCAAACAAGTGTGTGTGCGTGCAACTGTGAGCACGCACAACACCCCCCCCCACCACACACACACTTTCCTCTTTCCCGTGTGTTATTATTCATTTCCAGGAGTCAACGAAGCTTATCCCGAAGACCTTTCTCCTTTTAGTAAGGCTTTACTACTAAATGAATAATAATTAAAACAGCCTTGCATAAGAATAGCATTTCTGTTACTTTCTCAAACCTTTCCTAGTAAACATTATCTCATTTGAGCCGTGTGGTAACTGTGACTGTAGATAGGACTAGTATCATCAGCCCCACTTCACAGAGGAAGAAACTGAGACACAGACTAACCTCTGTGGGTGTCAATTTCCAAGTCTGTCCAATGAAGACTTGAATCCTATGACCTCTGAGTCCTCGTCTCCTTTGAAAATGGTATTATTTTCATGATTTGTCTGAAATTGCAAAGCTAGTGGTTAGGGGTAGATTAGAGATATGAGATGAATGCCTCTGGGTGCCAGGCTAATTCTCCCACACCATGTTTTCTTTGCTGACAACAAGACCAGCGGACGCCTGGGTGGCTCAGTTGGTTAAGCAACTGCCTTCGGCTCAGGTCATGATCCTGGAGCCACGGGATCGAGTCCCGCATCGGGCTCCCTGCTCGGCGGGGAGTCTGCTTCTCCCTCTGATCCTCCCCCCTCTCATGCTCTCTCTCTCATTCTCTCTCTCAAATAAATAAAAAAAATCTTAAAAAAAGAAAAAAACCAAGACCGGCTAACATTGATTAGCTGTCCCCATCTGCCATGCCCTGTGCTAATGACTTACAGGGCACTGATGAAGACCTGCCCATCATCCACCCTCGGAGTTCTACCCATCTGAAAGTAGATTTCAGTTCCACACACACTTATCAGGAGCTGACACCACCCCTGCTCTAAGAATATGCTCCTGTTCGTTTAACCTGATCAACATTTTCTGTTCTCCAGGTGACAGTCACTGGTCTAGGGCTGGGCCCAGGCCCAAACGGTCCAACCAGGGTGAACTCGAAGATTCTGGCCTGGATGCAGGAACGGAGGTGTACTCTCCCCTACCGGATATAAATCAGGAAGCACTGTCTTTATTGCTTCTGGCAGCCTTTCTATGGTCCCAAGAGGAAGCCACAGGATTCTTGCTTGGGCCAATAGTTTTTAGCAGCTAAAATCTGAGATGTCTATATCCCTAAAACTGAACAATCAACACAAACAAAGACAGATGAGGTCATTGAGACCCAGAGAGTTACTAGACGTAGCCAGGCTCGCACTGCATGTTTGGGGAGTTGAGGATTACATTTCAACTCTCCACCAATGGACCCAGGGTTCTCCTGGCCTCAGGAAGTACAGAAGGCACTCCAGTGCAGAGATTCTTGAGAAAATGAATCAGAGTTGTAGCTGCTGAACAGACCAAAGAAGTACGTTTGAAGGGGAGGAAGGAGAAACTAGAAGGGGCTTCCTTCTATTCTGCTTTCCTGCCTAAGACAGAAAGATGACAGGGCCCCAGCTGAGCTCAATGGTAACACTGAACCAGAAATCTTTCCCTTCCCCCACCTCAACCTTCTGTGAAGCAAAGAGCCTCTGGGACTGCCCCAAAGGAAGAAGGCGTTGCCTGCCAATTATCTGCCTACCTGGGGTCAGGGTGAGGGCAAGGCAGTGAGGACATACTATGAACGGCTAGAAAAGAGATGGGCAAAAGGCCCTGTTTCTCACTCACCTTGTCAAAGAATAGCCAGAAATAAAGCACACACAAATTAAAGAAACACAAAACATTTACAAACAGAATACCTATTTTTCCAACTCTTGCATACAAGGGTTGTCTACACAATTTTGGCAGAATCAGACATGGACAGTTCGGTTAGTCCATTTGATCACAGACAACAGCATTCATTTATTCATCAAGGATTTAAGTACCTACCTTATGTCCTAGAGATGTGCTCACATCCTAATGGCGAAGGGCAGCTGAAGGGGAACAGACCATAACAAGTAAATAAACAAGATGATTTCAAACCCTGCTCATGCTCTGCAGGAAATAACAGGGTGATAGTCAGGTGGGAGGGGCCATACTTGAGCTATGCTGTCAGAAATGTCTCCCTAGAGTGACACATGAGCTAAGCCATGTGAGTCTGAAGAAAAGCTAATCTAGCTAAGTCAGGAGACAACAGCAAGTGCAAAGGCCCTGTGGCAAAAAGTGCTTGGCAGAAAGATGGGCAGTGTGCCTGGAGTGTAGTAAGCTCAAGCTGGAGAGGCAGCCAGGACCCCATAGGGGAGGGCCTTGGAGGAGGTGGCAGGTGGGGGCTTTGTGCAGTGCCAACGCAGCTGGAAATACCAGTCTGCCATTCTTCTGTGTATACTAATGAGCCATGATGGACTCTCCCAATGGACCTCTGGTGTCTGACCTGGGTTGAAGTTTGAGATCTCCCACCGCAATGGCCTTGGGAAAGCTACTTGAGTCTCCTCATTTAAACAATCAAGGGTTTGAAGCCAAAAGACTTGTGTAGGGATTACTTCCAAATCTCAGCATTATCAATTTATCCTTAAAGTCAAAAGCGGACACTTACAAGACTAGCCCAAATTTTAGAAGAAACACAAAATTTAAATTGTTAGGATACTGCATGAACAATCGATGTGAGGACCCCCTGGGGAAAAACGTATTATACTGTCGGGATCATCAACGCTGTCATTGCAGTCTCAACTCGGGCCCTTGTGAGAACTCAATCTCCGTCCTGGGTCTGGGTGGATCTGGGAATTCCGGCTCATTTTCCGTTTCAAAGACTCAAAGCGATACCACCTTAATACTAACATTCCTCGCGTCGGCGCCAGCCCTCCGCCCCGCAGCACCGGACGGTCCCCCAGGGCCGGGTTCGCGGGCGGGGGGCGGGGCTGGGAGGGAGGGGGCGTAATCGAAGAGTGGGGCGGGGAAAGGGACCCGCGCTGAAGACCTGGCAGATGGACACCGGGGGGAAACCCGGGGAAGACGTTGTCTGCCTCCAATTCGGGGAGAAAGGTGCAGCGAAGTGACGCCAAGAGCTGGAAAGGGGCAGGAGGCGAGCGAGCGGGCAGCGCAGGGCGCGGAGCCCCAGGGGTAGGCGGAGCAGCGGGGCGGGCGCGCCGCGGGGCTCGGCTCCCGGGGCGGCGGAGGGGAGGTAGGGAATGCTGGGAGTGGAGAAGAGGCGAGGGACCCGAGCAGGGCTCGGGAGGACGACGGAGGCCGGCCACGGAGGACCGTGGACGGACGTCGCGCCCAGAGGCCAGCGGGGGCTGCCTCCTCAGGAGGGGCCGCTGGGAGGGGGTGGGGCGCCGGGCGGGAGGCCAATGGGAGGGCGACCCGGGACGGGGCGGGGCGGGGCGCCGGGCGGCTCGAGGCCAAAATTGGGGGGGGGGCCGAGTGGAGGAGGGGGCGGGGCGCCAGTAGACTTGAGGCCAATGGGGGGGCAGACAGAGGTAGGGGCGGGGCGCCGGTCGGCTTAAGGCCAATGGGGTTGAAGTAGAGGCGGAGGCGGGGCGTCGGGCGGCTCGAGGCCAATGGAAACACGAGTTCGAGTAGGGGCGGGGCGCCAGGGGGCGAAAGGGCCAATGAGAGGCTGAGCCGGGGACGCGGGTGGCCGTGGGGACCGACGCCTGGGGAGAGGGACCCGGAAGGCGGTGGGGGCGGGGAGCCGTGCTGACAACCTGTCAAATCCACTTTGGGGCGAACTAGGTCACGCGCCTCCCCGAGCCAGGGCGCTCCCGCCCTGCGAGGCCCAGCGGGTGGCCCGCGGGCCCGGCCCGGCGGCTTCCTCTTCCTGCCGGCGCTGGGGGCGGGGCGGGGCGGGGCGGACGCCGGGACACCTGCCTCCCCGGCCCTGTGGCGGCCGCTCGTTCTCCCACTGCTCCCAGGCGCTCCTCCGCCCGGGCTCTGCTGGAGACAGCCGGGCCCACCGCGCCTCCGCAGCTGAAAACAGGGCCCGCCGGGCGGCCCTCCGAAGTTGAGAACTCCTCACGCCGCTGCTCGCCCGCTGGGGACAGTTGCGCGGTCCCCGCGGGCCCCCGTGTGCGGAAGCCGTCGCCCGACGCACTACTTGGCGCGGAAGGAGCCGCGGGCGGAAGGAGCCGGCGCGCCGCGGCCGGAGCCGTGCGGGGGGTAGGGTGGGCGGGGGGATGCGGCCCGAGCCCGGCCCCGCGGCGATGTGCACGGAGCCGCCCCGCGCCGCCTCGCCGCCGCCCGGTCACCTGCCCCCGCGGGGGAGAGAGCAGGCGGCTGGCCGCGGGCGGGCCCGGGGTGGCGGGGGCGGCGCTTTGTGTCTCGGGTGTAGCGGGTGGAAGGGGGAAGCTCTCCCGTCTGTCCGGCCCTTGTCGTCATCCGGACACTTCTCCCTGCTTGAGCTCGGACACGTAGTTCTCGAATTGTTTCCAGGCGAATGAAAGGAAATAAAAGCCTCAATTAGAAGTCAGCACTATACAAGTCCCGGGGATTATAAATTTGCTCCAACATCACCATGTGGGATTTATGCCCTTGCACTTCTGCTTAGACCATACGTCCATTTCTCTTCAATATGGATCCTTAATAGAGCTGTATCCGCTTTTTTAAGTTCTTCAAAATGGATGTTGATGCAGTCTCTAATTACCAATACTTATGTTAATGGATCGATTCTGTTCTTCATTATTTCGCAATGCAGATTTACTTAGAACTTTTGCATTGAATGGACAGTAAATATAATGCTTTGTTTAATTTTTACTCCTTGGCCATTCAAATTAGGTTAATTTCCCCCAGAACTAGGTGATGCATTGTTTTAAGTAACAATGACCAACTCCTCTACTGCCAGATTGTATAAAACCGGGGTAAAATGTAGATTAAAAATGCTAAAATTTGAACGCAAAATTTAAATTACTGACTTAGTAATTATTTGAAGTGTTTCTTTGCAATACTACAGTGAAATGGAATAAAAACATTTCATTTTCATTCAAATATTTCTTTAAACAAATACAGTATTTCTTAAATATATGCAAGCATTCTGCTTAAACATTTGCATGTGTCTATATGGAAAGCATTGTGCCCAAACGTTTTTATTACTTTACCAAATGCATATTTCATCAGTAAAATTTTATTTCCTTTGAAAGTCTAGCTTTTAGTTAAATGCATTTTAGCTACCACTTGGAGAAGAAAACAATATACTGTATCATCTATGTACGGAGTATACAAATACCATTTTTTTACATTTACAAGAAACATAGTCATCAAGAAAAAACTGGATAAAGTAAAATGTTCTTTAAATTCAACATAAACAAGAGCTTACTCGTTAATTAGCCATAGGATAATACTTGAAGTACCGTATTTATTACTCTGTAATATAATATTACCAATAAAAGGTTGGGATAGATGTCCAGCCTTTTTATATGAATTAAAATCGAACAAAGCAAAAAAGACCTTTTTTGTGTGTTTTGTTATAGGAAATTCCTTACTGCCAGCTAATTTTCCAAATTGAGTATTCTCTATTTTGACCAGTTGGTAACCCAACAGTGTTAGAACCTCATAGCCCTTATTGGGCAGGTAATAAAAAGTAGTATCTTTTCTTATTACAAAAGTTTTGTTATCAATTCCCACTGAAAGATGTTTTCTTTTTTGTTCTCCTTTTAATGCTAATTAATACTCACTAAAAAGACAATAAAACCACAAGTGGTTTTCTTCAACAAATAAACCACAAGATTGTTAGTAACAAAGTCAACACTCAAAACATAAGATCGAACTGCATATCTTTAGACAAAAATTGCATGCTGGAATTTAGCCATTATATATATTATATTAATAAGTAAAAATGGAGTGGGCGCCTGGGTGGCTCAGTTGGTTAAGTGACTGCCTTCGGCTCAGGTCATGATCCTGGGGTCCCAGGATCGAGTCCCGGGATCGAGTCCCACATCGGGCTCCCTGCTCAGCAGGGAGTCTGCTTCTCCCTCTGACCCTCTTCCCTCTTGTGCTCTCTCTCTTTCTCTCTCTCTCAGATAAATAAATAAAATCTTAAAAAAAACTGTTTAATAAGTAAAAATGGAGTTTTAAAATTTAAACAAAGTGCAATACTAAAACTATCATCTTGCTACTTTGGGGTCTATTTTCACTCCTTTAACAAAGGGTTTTAAAACTTTCTTAAAATGAGTGCTTTGAGATGCTAACTCCTTCCGTTTCTCTAAATATGAAAATTAGAAACATTCTGCCTTAATTGTTTCTTTTTTGTATCCCTTGCTAGAAAATTCTTTTGGAATAGATTTGGGAAATTAATTAGCTTTATAAATGGAGTTACTGTTTTGCCTAAACACTTTATGTATAATTCCTTGCAGGAGGATTTTTCTAATTCTCCACCAAAATGTCTTGGCACAATTTTATTTCTCAGATGGTATTACATTTCCTGGACTAGAAGAAAAGAGCAGGCAACCTCTTTACTTCTTTTGGGGAGGAGGGTGGGTGGCTTTACCCGAGGATAAAGACATCCTCATGGCAGCTCAGCCTATGCAATTGGAAATTCAGCTTGGACCAAAAGGGGTAAAAGATTCTGTGACTGGGAAATAAATATGCCTTGAGTTAGAGGTTGCAAACCAGTGGTCCGCAGAAGTGTTTGTTTGCCTCTCACAATGTTTAGAAATTTTTAAATTCGTTTCCAAGATTTCAAAAATGGGAGACTTCAGATAAAAATACACAACTGTAGCTTCTCTTGAAAACGGACAGACATGGCTCATTTCTTGCCCGGTTGTGTGGTTCTATAGCTGACTAGCTGCTGCCCCCTTTAGACGGGGTATGCACTCTATACCCTAGGCTCAGCGCAATCATTTATTTCAGCTGGCTGGCCACTGGAGGAATCTGCGTCTAGGATACCTGCTCCAGGTTATAGAAAACTGTGAAAGACTTCGTCACAGAGAAGTAAGCTTAGGAAGAAGAGATGATCCTAAGTTTCTAAGTAAATACGACAAGCTCAGAAATAGAAAGTTATTGAAATTATAGATGGCAACTGGATGTATCCCATTATTTCTCTTATCAGTCCCTTGGCACAAGAAAAGGTGAAGTTGAATCAAAGAGAAAAAAATGTTTTTGTGCTGTACTTCCAACTTGTAAAGGCATGCCTTGATTCAAATGAGTATCACTGGAAATCTTGGCTAATGGAACCTAGGAATAGTAGTCAACTGTGAAAGATTGTGCAAGAGAGGATTCCCCAGAGGGCTACAGAATAACAGTGATGATGATGATGATGATGATGATGATGATGACAATGTCTTGACATTATTGAGTGATAACTGTGTGCTGGACATTTTTCCAAGTGCTCTCTGAACTATGTCACATTGTTATAATTTAAGGTTTTATTTATTTATTTGACACACAGAGAAACAGCGAGAGAGGGAACACAAGCAGGGGGAGTGGGAGAGGGAGAAGCAGGCTTCCCGCGGAGCAGGGAGCCCGATGCGGGGCTCGATCCCAGGACCCTGGGACCATGGCCTGAGCCGAAGGCAGACGCTTCGCGACTGAGCCACTCAGGCGCCCCCATTGTTATATTTTACTTTCCAGTTTGCTTCTACCCCACTTTCCTTTTCTTCTTGTAGCTACCCTGAACTTTCTAAACTTAGGCATGAGGTGAGTGCTATAATTTGCTGTACCTTAGGACGGCACTGACCTTTGGCCTTTACTGGTTCTGAGTGTCTGGATGTTTTTTCTTTGTGGCCTTTCCCAGACTGTACCCCAAGCTTGTCCTCTCTTGGGCATCTTCCTGTCACAGTCTGCGTGT